TTTTTGACCTTTCCTGAAAACTTCTGGTTGGTGGTAGCCTGTGAGTTCCACATTGCTTACTAGGACCTCCTGTTGTAAGGTAACTCAGGCAAGAGGCTACTATCCTGCCTGGCTAGGGCAGGTGGTTCCAGTCAGTGGTTCCTCTAACATACCTAATGTAGATCATGGTGACTAATTGATAACACTGTATTGTATGGTTGAAGTCTGCTAAGAGAATAGAACTTAAGTGTTCTCACCAAAAAAAGAAAGAAAGAAAGAAAAAGGATAAATATGTGTGGTGATGGAGGTGTTAATAGACTCCAAGGGGGAAATCCTTTCACAATGTGTGTAGCAAATCATTCCGTTGTATACTTTAAATATCTGGCAGTTTTGTCAATTATACCTCAATACAGCTGGAAAAAAAAATCCTGTTTTTATAAAATGAACCACATTTGCTAACTTCTGACTACAATTTGAGACTAAAATTTGCAATAAGTGATGCAGTAAAAATAGTACAGTAATGATGATGATATGAGACTTTGGAACTACATTCTGAAATCTTTATTCCAAAATAGCTATTCAATCAATGGGTAAATGTACTGAGTTTTATCATAAATCATTATTTTTAATAAATAAGTAATTTACTGTTGAGTATCAGCCTTCTAAAATATTTTTAATGAATGGCTCATAGTTTTTCATATTTCATCATTGAAACAGAATTTTGCAAATACTATAAACTGAGATACAATGAAGACACCTGTATTACGTAGCAAATTCCTAACCCCAAATTATTTTCCTTTCCTGTGTCTTCTTGATTTCAGTGATACAACTTAGTAACTCAACAACAACAAAATCTGAAAAAGCTAGAGAAAAGAAACAGATGAGACTAGAATTGAGTTTTCTTGCCTTTAGATGGAATGGGACTCTAAGTAGATATTAATTTGGACTCCCCATGGACTGTAGCCCACCAGGCTCCTCTGTCCATGGGATTTTCCAGGCACGAACACTGGAGTAGGTTGTCATTTTATTCTCCAGAGGACCTTCCCAGAGATTGAACCTGGGTCTCCTGCATTGCAGGTGGATTCTTTACCAACTGAGCCACTAGGGAAGCCACTTTATGGACTATAAAATCATAAATAATTTAAATTATAAAAGTGTTAATTTTCTTAACAGATTTCATAGTTATTTAATAGTATGAAAATACCACACTTGGTACCTACCACTTCCCTAATAAATCTGGCACCTAGTGAATACTGGATAAAAGCCTGTTAAAGGTGAACTCAAGTCACAGGCAAGGCTCTTTCCTGGTTTCTCTCTGCACTTTCATTGGCTTCCTCTTCAGCTGTGAGCTATATTCCTAACACCAGAACTTAAAAGTATCCAGAATGAAGGCAACATGGACATCGTATACCTCATAATACATCCGAACTTGAAATTGACACAAACCTAGAATCTTACAATTAATAGATGCCAGGAAGTTAGTCTAATTTGAAGGTAGAAATGGATTTAAGAACACACAGGACTTGCAAGTTTGACCCAGGAGTTCTCTTGGCCATCTTTGATGGCCATTTTCCTACTGCCACAGGACAGGCTGAAAGGCCAAGTAAGCTTCTGACACATGTAAGAGAAACTTCTATTTAGCCTGAAATGGCAGCAAGCAGATCAGTGCCTCCCATGTAGGTCTGTGACACTGAATTCATCATAGATCTAAAAAAGCACTTTAGCTATTTAAAAAAAAAGACTTTAAGGTAACTCAAACAGCACACAAAAATATGTAAGTTAAAACCTGAGTGTAACTTAGAAATTAGCACTGTTGCACCCATTGCCTGACTTTAATAGGTCTCTCCTATGGAATTTTAAATAATTCCTTTTACTCCAGTCTCATTTTAATAGCAAGGAGTTTTGATCATCTTTCACAGGATTGTGCTATAAAATTGGTATTGGAAAATACTCTCCAGGATGAGCTTTGAGGATCTTTACAGTGTACATATTAAAAAGCTTTATACAGAATCACCCAAAGACTGACTGGGTCAATTGTATGTATTAAACAATGTATCATGAGATTACAATATATAAAATCCAAAATTTTAAAGTTCAAAATTCAATCACAAGATGAGCATTTAACCCACTATTCCTTTTCATGAATTTTCATGTAAGAAATCGTAAGACAGATGGGTCTGTTTTTCACCCTTTGTATTCACCAAGTATTCAGAAGTACTCACAAATTATCCAGGTTACCAATTTTTTGCCTCATCACCACCATGAGCTGATATTTTATATTTGTTTGAAGAGATTAAATTTCCTCATATGAGTACTCCCTCACATGACCCTTGGTGGGTATCATCCAAGGAAAATATTCTCATCCCCTCCCCTTGTTCTCTCTGATAGCGTTAAGAAACTCACTGATTGACAAACTTTTAATTTTGAAAGTTTAATTTTGAAAGACAAGGTCTCATTCAATGCAAGCACTCAATTTTTAAGAGAATTTACAAAGACTAACTATGGTCAATGTTGTTTGACCCCCAACATTACTCCACCAAACTCCCATTAGTTAGCAATACCATGATTGGGAAATTGATCCTCACTTTAAGGGGGTCTCCAGGTTTAAAAATGGTCAAACAACCCCAGCCTAGCCTATAAGAAGAAAGCGGTTTTGTTAGTGGCTTCTGGAAAAGCTGCCCTATACACTTAACAGCAATGAAGGGTCAGCGTCTCTTCCCGTGAACATGAACAAAGAAGCACGGAGCCTGTCCACCATCTTGCAACGATGGTAGTAAGTAGCCTAAGGATCAGCCAGCACTGTGTGGCCAAACAGCCTGAGGTGAATGATGGTGGGTCTTGATGATATTAGACTTCTGGATAAATTGACCTTCTTGACTTTCTCTCAGGTGAAGAAATGGACTTATATTTAAGTCAATTTGAGCATGCAAATGAACAAACTTTAACAGATGTCATTTCTTTCTATTTAAACCAAACTCCTACTGCAAACTACCGTCACCTCCTTCTTTTCCTTGTATGTCAGCACTTCAGTACGCCCAAAACAGAACACATCTCCTCTCTCTACAATATCAGTCTCTACACTGCCCAGGCTTCGGGTCCCACAGTTACTATCTTGCTTCTCTTTAGGTCCTGTTATGTTTTTGAGTCACAATCTCTCATCTACTGATTTATTCCTTTTTGCAGTCTCATCACCCCACGTCAGATTGTTACCACTCCATGGAGACATGATCTCACATAGTATATCCAAGGATCTCCTCATTGTTCTGGCAAAATAGGCCAAAGTGCGTATGGTTTTGATTGGAATACAAAGTAAGGGAGACTCTCTGGGAGTTTGACCCCAACTGAGAAATGGTATTTTGTTCCTTCATCATGCTCTATCTGCGAAGATTGTATCGACTCTTAAAAATGAAGTTCAAATATCAACTCTGCCGCAAAGCTGCTTCAACTCCCTTAGTGCAAATGTCTCATGGATTCTTACACATTGGATTTCTCTCATAGCCCTGGTCATTTCTATCAGGAGCTAGAATTCTTTGGATACATACCTTTCCCCTCCATGAGGTTATATATTTCTAACGTATCTCAGTACAGTTCTCATATCCTAGAATTATCAACTCCAGTTTCATTATTATGAAGAATTCAAGTAAGTTTATATTTTTGCTTGACACATGCCTAAGTTCAATATTCTTGCACTCTCATGCCACATTTCTAAAACATTAGTCTATGTATATTTTTTGCCCTATATATGTTCAAAAATTATAATCTCCTCTTATTACCAAAGGAGCAAAAGAGTAGGTAAAGATTCATTGCAAATCATTCAACAATTCATCGTTCACTTCACCTCTTACCATAAAAACATATTGCAGTCAAAAGCAACTTTCCATCAAAAACAAAGTTTCTTGTTAAAATTTTTCAGTAAAAACAATATCACAATTACAGTTAGAGTTTCACAGGTATACACATGTCAAACTTGTCACTGTACAATTTACATTTGTGCATTTTATTGTATATCAATTTATACCTCGGTAAAGATGCTAAAGGGAGAAGGAAATGGCAAACCACTCCAGTATTCTTGCCTGGAGAATCCCAGGGACAGGGGAGCATGGTGGGCTGCCGTCTTTAGGGTCACACAGAGTCTGACAGGACTGAAGCAACTTGGCATCAGCAGCAACAACAAAGATGCTAAAAATAAAACTTAGTATCAGAAAAGCCACACACGGAAACATAATTAAAAGCCTTGGAAGGCAGACAAACACAGATACACAAAGAAAAGGAAACACTCCTTAAATGCATCAAGCTTTATTTACAAATGCAGTTGTACAGAAAGGCTCACTAGTTTCTGAAGAAAACTTCTGGCATACAAACCATGATAATTTTCATGAATGAAAAGAAGCAGCTTTCTACTGAGAACTGCTTAGCAACAATTCTGGTGAAGAAAATAGAGCTCCCTCATCAAACAAATAAAATGTTACATAAGCTAAAAAAAAAAAAATTAACCATAATATTACATAAATGAAAAGAAGAATATGCAAAGCAAATTTGGAAGTGGATTTTAGTAAAATTTTCCATATGGCTCTGCATTAATTTAGTATATTTTATAATAAACAAAGCAAATGCTATTACATATTTATATTAACTATTTCAAATAATGTTTCAGAGTTAAAAAAAAACACAATAAAATAACCCTCTTCAAAACACCGCTAGAAAGTCAATCGGATCATTATCAGCCTCAAAAAAAATTTTTTTTTAAGTTCTTGTTTCTTCCTGTGCTTTTATGATGCTGAATCCAAAAAGGAAATACTGCACTTTTTGCCACACATCATTACCGTCTTATAAATAAACAACAAAAATACAGGTTCTACCAAGACTATAATGCTCTGATGTAATCTAAAGAGGTCAGAAAAAGTGTTATTCTTTTTTAAAAAACAGAGCGAAAGGATGTTACAACATGTGTTTATAGATCTATATCAGCGGCAACCACCTCTTCCTCTATCTGCAGCAGGGCTTTCGGGTGGAGGCTGACATCACATGGCGGTTGGCCGTCCAGCTGATCAGGCAAGGAGAGAAGAAAGAAAAGCACTTAGATTCAGAAATACTCGAATATTGCCACTGGGATTCATAGTAGGAATGGCTCAAAGAATAACCCCATGAGGTAGAAAGAACTCTGTTACTCACTTAGGATAAAGCTAGGCAAACCCACAAAGTCTGGGTTCACAAGTCTTTTCTTTGCAAAAATGGGAGTAAAAATTAACTGCTGATACAGAAACAAGTTACACTCAACTCTCTGTTATTTGTCCTGGAGGAGAGAAAAGGCATGGGCAGTTTTTCCACGTTGATTCCAAAAATCAATTATATTTGGCTTTGGAATTTGGACTAAAGAGAGGAAAGCTCACACACATACACACACTCCCCCCATTTCATGCCCAACCTTGACAGTCTCCAGCCTCAGTGCTGGCATCCAGGAATGGCCTGGACCAATGGCAAAAGAAGGCTCAAAACATGCTGACAGATAAGAGAGAGTTGACTGGGCTGATGCCATTTCCAAAGCACTCTTCACAGAAAGGCCACATAAATACCTCAGAGCTCAAAAGCACATGGTTTTGCTGATACCACTTGTAACCAACACCCTTTCACAATAAGGAAGAAACACATGTTACCAGCATCAAGGCTCAAAATATAAAAAGGAGGAATGGTAGTCTTTATGTAGCTATAAACAACAGGCGATCCAATTATGCTATCCGATATTTTATAGCACACTTACAGGCAAAAACATGCTTTGACACAAAATAAGCATGTGAAGTTTGTTAAAAACCCAGTTTTTTAAAAAATGATGCTGAAAGACTATGCAATCAGAATTAATGCTCTCTTTTTAAACTATTGTCCATATTGATAGGATATGATTATATAGTAACAAACACATACCAACTACTCTTTATTCTCCTTTTAAACCACAGTCTTTAAGTTGGTCATATTCTAAATCACATAATCAGAACCACATTGGTAAATAATAGAGATCAGCTAAAACTATGAGGGGCCAATCCTCAGCCAAGCAACAGATGAGAGGCTGTACAGAAGACTCCTTTTAACTGACTTGATTTGCACCCCTGAGTCATTAGAAATTTCCCCAGACTCTGAGCAGACTGAACTGCACTGAACATTGTCCTGACTCCCCAGTTGACATCCGTCCCCAGGTCCTCGGCCCCATACCCAACCCTGTGGAGCTGGAACCTGAGAAGTGACCCACTGACCCCTTCACCGGACCCTCTTTGAAGGGGCCAGAGTGAGATTCCTAAAGCCTGGAGCTCTAGGGCAGAGAGCTGCAAGGGGAGCTGGTCGGAGGTTCAGGCAAGTACATGGGAACCCGTGCTTTCTGTAAAAGACAAGAAATTTTCTCCCTGATTTGCTCTCTTACATTTGAATCTGAGATAGCAGTCGTTGCAGTACAGTTGGTTGTTTCGGATTCTGACTTCGGCTCCTGAGGAAGAGCCTCCGAGGTCACGCTCGCAGGCCACACACTGGGAGACAAACAAAAACAACAGGGAACACCCACACTTAGCTTAAGAACCCTTGGGAACACTCCCAGGGTGGGGAAAAAAATGAGCAAAATAAAATGCAGTTTCTAAGCGCTTAGAGACATTTCAGCAAAGGGGGGGAAAAAAAAGGCCAAAAGATAATTAGGTTAAAATGAAGCCTGCTGGATGAGACATGAAAGAATTCATAAAGCCAATTTTAAGAGCCAAGATTTCATTCAAACTATACCAAAAGAGTAGAAATGATTCACTGATTGGCTTAAAGAAGCTAACGCTTCCTTTCTCCCGGAGGATGGACAGGATTAAGCACCATGGGAAGGAACTGGCCAAGGGCAAGAAGACTAGGTTCTGGCTCTCTGCCCTGGAGTGGGCCATCCGGGCATCCCCATGAGTGTTCACACATGGTGCTTTCCCAAAATACCCATGGCTGGGTATTTTGGCTCCACATGCTCAAACACTAATAATTCTGACTCATTCTGTTATGTCAGGGAACAACCCGAGCCAGAGTCAGACAGGCTTAAAACAAGTTGAGCTCTGCAGGACTCCAGGATCAACAACCAGAAGTTCTCTCTCTGGCCCAACACAAGTTCAAGAATCAAATAACTGTGTCTCTAAAGACAGATACTGCAAAATAAGGCAGTTATATAGCCTTACTTCTTTCTTATGTGTAAGAATCCCTTAGCTGCAACTGTAAAAATATTTACAATGTAATTTCTTTCACACTCCCCCTATTCAAAACTAGGTTTCTGGACACTTATAATTTACGTCCCCATGCTGTTAATAACCATAGCAGCATGTTAGAGGAAGCATTTATGCACTGTAAACTTTACTTATAGAATCTTAGGTTGGAGATAGGAAGCGCATGGTGCCTCCAGGGTCAAGGTGTGAAGAGGCAGCAGCAGGAGGAGGCCATTTGTGATTCTGAGGGCAGTGCAGACCGACAGAGGCAGCACCTAGCTTGTTAGTGGCAGGTCCACACCCAGCGCTCAAAGAAGCCATGCGCTCTCCAAGCAAAGCGTTGCAGGCCTGCAGGCTGTTTGGCTTAGTCTCACCTTAAAACAATGCAAATGATAACAAAGACCCAGGGACTCGATGATCATGGCGGCTCCTTTGCCCAGAATGTTATGACAGAAGGAGCACACTCGCTTCCCACTGACCGACCTAGACGCAGGACGAGAATGGGAGGGAGGCTTTCATCCGTTTCAAACCTCTTATCTAAAACTCATTCAGGTATTAACATGAGCCATCCTTTATGAACGTCTTTATATATCCACGGGAGGAAAGCTTTCACCAGCCAACCAATCATGGCTTGATTATATTGTACCTTGAAGGATCTCCACAATGGCTCTGGTACCCTTGACACCTAGTTACAGAAATGAATGATTTCTGTCATCGGTCCATTCTGCTATCTCCCTTAGGCCACATCTGTCCTCAGCAAGGTTCTCATGCCCTTCTAATCCAGGTAAACCACCAAAGCACATCCCTTATCATGTTCTTTGCTTATTGCCACTAGAAGAGCATCCCCAGCTACTTCCAAGAGGCACTGCAAGTCTACTAAACCTATCATCTCACCCTTATTTTGTCAATCTCCTTCTCATTCACCCAATAATCTAGTTAAACAGAAGCATTTCCTTAGTGCTTTCCTTAATGCCTCTGGCTTACTGGACTGCCTCTGCGAAGAATGACATGAAAACTACTACAGCTAGCCTTCAGATAGGCATGGTGAGTCTCTGCTTTGCTTTGTTTACAAGTCTTATCTGCTCTCCCAGGCAGGAAGGTGAAGGTTACTTTTCTTTGCATCCCGCAGGATGGGCACAGCACTTCAGTGCCACTGCAAAGGGCGTTGCTGTTGAATGTCCCATGTTTGAGCACTTTGTGCTCTAGACAGAGACCTTTTCAGGGCAGAGAAGCCCACAGCCCTGTCTCCTTTCTCCTCTCTAAGGGCAGGATTCTCAGTAAGTAAACTTACTTACTGAGTACTTAAGTAAGTACTCTCTCCTCTGCCTTCCCCTGATTCTATCCTTCCTTCCAAATTTACCATGAATCCTCATCGCTCCTTCCCTCAATTCAAACTCCCTGAGACCCATTATAGCTAGAATAAAAATATCTTCTCTGAACGAAATCCTTTAGTTGATAGCTTAAAAAAAATCTCAATATTAATCATTGTGTTTCTACTTTTCAGTATTTCATCGGCATTACAGGCTGGGAGAACTCCCTTCAGGTCTCAGCAGAAACACTGCTAGATGGTGTCTCATGAAGCCTCAGGGATCTGTGGAGAAGCTACACAGACCTAAAACCCCAACACATGTTGATGTCTGAGCTCTACTCCATATCAAAAAACAAGACCCACCACTCTAACGCTCACAGTTCCCACAGCATGTGCCCTGCAGGATTCAGGTGAAGTAATCTCAGCAAGATTCTGACCAGCCAGATAAGAGACAAGCAATGGTTTTAGAAATCAAAAGCCCCAAATGCAATAAATAACTTGAGAATTTTTAAAGCCAGCTTGCACAAAGTTCCACAGATGATGGGGCTGGGTTACAATGTCCTTTACACTCAGTCTCTATAAAATGAGTGTATATTACAGTCCCATTAAAACAGTCCAACATTTTACAGTACTGCTCTTACTCATCACTTTGCCATGCATTCACGAGCTACTGTATGTTTTTATGATTCCACAGCTGGGAATCTATTTAGGTCTGTCTGCATTTGAGACACTGACCACAGGCCCAAGTAAATGAGACAGTGGCAGAGTCATAACATTTTAAAGGCCTCCATGGCTTCATAAGACATCCATAAATACCCTTGGGTTGCCACGGAAAGACATTAAGGAAGCCTTCTGAATTGATCTGGGAAAGGAACACTAAATTTGACACATTCAAAAAGCCTTGTTCTTCTTTTTCGTTGGAACGCTTGGATGAGATCTGGGGAAACTTTTAATGAAAACTACCCCTTGAGTCTAAAGAAAGCAAAAGGAAAACCCCAAGGGCCTCACCTGTTGCGTGGCTGGGAGCCTGGCTGCTGAGCCGCGGGGGAATGGCTACGCGGTACGGGGGATGGGGCGGTGGTCTTCACAGAGCCGGCTGAGGGAGGGGGGATGCTGGAGGAGGGGTTCCGCATGTAGGCACGGTTTGATGTGGACAGCAGCTGAGGTGGGGGGTGACGGAAGTCTTGGACGGAGGAAGAGGCATAGACTCCTGACGGCTGACTGAGCCCCGGGGACTGTCGCCAAGAATTGGTTCTTGGGGAATCCAGGTTATCCAGAGATTCACCTCTGAAACACAGAAAGGATTCATCAGCTTATCAGCAGTGGAAATAATGAACAAAAGTACCCCAGATACCTCTGCTAAGTTCATCCTCTCATCTGCAATTAATTTCTATCTACATATTTTCCTTAAAGTTGCAAATACCAGGTTCCCACACTTTGTGAACACCATTTTCATAATCTAACCGTTATCTTATTAGAAACGGAGGCTTCATTTTTTAAAAATCATCATTCAAGGAAGCACTAAGCCCGTCAATTATTTAAATGCCTGAATCACACATCAGAACTCCACATCCAGCCCTGCAACCTACTAGCCATGTGGTTTTGTCCACATGCATTCCTTACTCAAGCCACAGCTTCTTTGTGGAAAAGCAGAATTACCACTCCTGCCTCTAGACACTCTTCCCGGATGAAGTGAGATGATGTAGATAAACTGCCTGCCGTGGGTCTGCCACTAATCAGTGCTCCAGGTCAAGTGCCCAATGACATTGGTTCTGCTTCTCTCTCTCACAAAATCTTAGGTAAGAGAAGAAACGATGCCATCTCTTTCATCCAAAGTAGCCAGCACGCCTGGAAATTAAATATCTGCACCTCAGTACAGAAAGGGAAATCATTCCAAAGATGTCTCACACCTTCTCATAATCCCCGGCAGACAAATAGGCTCCTTGTTGACACTGGAACTGCGCTGTCGGATCCAGCTGTTGTCATCATAAAGGGAGGTTCTCTTCCTCATTTCTTGGAGGATTTGCTGTCTCTCCAACTCCGCTCCTGATGGCGCTGGTTCCTTCTTCGAGCTCTTCTGTGATGAGCTACTGTTCCCACTTCGGTCTGCGTATCTATTGCTTCCTAAATTAAAAATATCGAAAGCTGCAGGATTAGTGCATTAAAAACAAGGATAGTAGATAAATCTCCAAATACAGGAGAGCCAAAAAAGGAAAGTGACAGTGGGCACCCAGGCTCACATTATCAATTCTCAATGAGACTGCTGCCTCAGAAGATAAAGCAACAGTCTCTCCTGTCCCTGGAAATCCAATTCCAGTCCCAGAGGCATATCAGGGGGACACTGGGGAAAACTAAGAAGCTGCCTAAAAAGGTCTTGGTCTTGATTTCAGCAGTATTAAATGACAAACTCCTCATCCAGAAAGTTTCTCTTCCATTATTTCCTTCCTTCCTGAATTAAAATTAGTCAAGCACCTGCTCACTGAATGCTTGCTGTGATAATTCTGCAAGGAACAGGGCTTTCTATTCTTTCAAAAAATGTACACTCACCCTGGGGAGAGAGCCAAGACATAAAGGCATATACCTCCAGCTGACAAGGGGCTCTCCTGGTGACTCAGCTGGTAAAGAATCCGCCTGCAATGTGGGAGACCTGGGTTCAATCCCTGGGTTGAGAAGATCTCCTGGAGAAGGGAATGGCTACCCACTCCATTATTCTGGCCTGGAGAACTCCATGGACTATATAGTCCATGGAGTCGCAAAGAGTTGGACACGACCGAGCAATTTTCACTTTCTTTTCTTTCCAGCTGACATGGCTCAAATCTTCATGGTGTTAAGTCACAGAATAAGTCATGACCAGACCATAGGAATGACAGCATACTCAATCACTGAAATGGCTTTTGTGAAACTGAAAAATAGCCAAGTAATCCAAATGATGGCTAAGGAATGTTATCAGACTTGTATCTCTCTCTCTTTTTTTTTTTTTGGACTTGTATCTCTTTTAAGAGAACTGACAGAGTGGTAGTTTCGATGTTGAATTTATGAATGACAATTAAGTCAGGTTTTATCCTTTAGAATAAAAAGTTTTGTCTCCTTAGATTTGCTGATAAAATCCTGATTTGAGTAAAACATCCATAACTTTGAGGGAACCTCCCCATTTTAACTTGGATTAGGAAATTTCACCTAAGGATTTTTTCATTTGCTCTCCAGATTCATGGCTACTGTCTTTCTTTCAAAATTCACTCTGCCATAGTTTATCTTCCAAGAAGCAATGAGCAAGGCCACCAAAAATTTCTTATACACATCTATGTTTACATTGGTACATACACGCATCTTATCAATTTGGTCAGATTCAAAATAAAATGTTTTCTATTTTAAAGATGCCTTACTGGAATAACCAAGTTTTCCAACAAAATATTTGATAACATCTACTGTGTGCTATTCAGGGGAGAAAATATATGTACAAAAATAGCCAGATCAATAACACAAGTCACAAATATTAAGAAGACTATTTCCGAGAGTCATACTTGTTATTACTAACAGGTCATGTGTTTACTTTCAAATAAGAATATGATCACTGTATGTTAAAAATGTTTCATGGCAGATGAAAGTACTTAAGCTTTTATTTTAATGGTGACCTCGGGGCACAGGGGAGAAGAAACTGGAAATCCAAACAGGTAAGACCAGAGGAGCCAGATCAGAAAGCATCTGATAAGTTGGAAAATGAGAGAATAGTTTGGTTATAGTTAAGGGACCCTTATGGGGAAAACAATAGGCCGAACAGTTAAACTAGGACCAGATAATGAAAGGTTCCCTGTGTTAAGAGAAAGGGGGTGATCATGAAACCTACTAGAAACTACAAATTCTACAAGCTTTAACTCGAGGTTGTAAACTAGCTGCCATCAGACCACTGGGGCCTGTGGATATTGTTTGGCTCACAGAGGGTTACAAAATTTTTCAAATTCCTGGTCAAACTTCCTGGTCAAAATTCCTTAAAATAAAAATTCAGACTTTTTTTTTTTTTTTACTTCTGTTTTTCAATAAAAGAGTTGGCAATCACAAGTTTGTATCTTCCCACATGGCGGTGACAAACTACAACGGGGGAGTAGTCTTCCACTTAAATGGTCAGGTCCGTCAAGTTCACCTCACCCTACAGCTGGGTCTTCAGTCATTTACATAACTGACCAACACCCTCCTAACTCAAAGCCTGGTAGACAAACTCTGCTTAAAATGGTATTTCTGGTTAGTTTTCTCCCCTTAGTTACATAACCTCAGTGATCTATGGTCCAGAAATTCACGTTATACGAAAAATATCAGGTTCCAAATTGCTTTTGCCAAGTTAGTGAAATCATCATTTTGAGTTTTTTGCCATCGTGTCATTTACATGTCCATGTTCAGGTTTATATACAATTTCCTGGTCTGCTGCAAAAAATTACTGTCCCAATTTTTTGGCGGCAAAATAAAATCCACTATTACCAAACGGTATTGGCATCACTTTGCAAATTTTTCACATAATTTCTAAGGTATCTATAATCATTTTAATCTTGCAGTACTCCCTCCATTATAAACTAAAGCCAAAATAAGCACAAGATAATCCTGCTGTGATATGTAAATGCTAAAATTCCGTAGTATTTCAAATATGTAATCTTAATGAACCTGAAATGTCTTGACCTTAAAAATAGTAATCATAGGGTGTGATAGCATAGCTAAGCAGTCATGCTGAAAAATTTTGAAAAAAATTCACATTTACCATTTTTATTTGTGGGGAAATCGTCCAATTCAGTAGTAGATCTGGATTTATTCCTAAAACAGAACATATTACATATATCTCATAAAGAACAGTCGTCTTTTCATATTTATGAAGTAAGAACACCAAAAAGATTATTTTTAAAGCAGTTGATTTATTTTCCATGTCTGTTGAGACCCATATTTATTTTCATATCAAGGAATTCTTCATGTACAAACTAGCAGAAAATGGTGACATCTATAAAGAGAAAAGAGCATGATACTAGAAAGAGACAGAAGCATGTGACAGTCTTCTCAGTTTGATGACAGTGAAATCCTGACTTTTTTGGAATGACTTGAATACTCTGACCCTCTTCTCTACCAGCTATCTATCTTACCAGGCCATATGAAGCATCTATTATCAGACAGCCTAACATCAGACTGTCAATGCTTCCTCCATGCGCCCAAGGGTTAAGAAGTCAACTTAGGGGCCTTAGGGTCCTACTCGGACACAGTAACTCATCAAATGCCATCTTAGCATTCCAAAGAGGTGCTGGAGCACACTGGCATCGGCAACTTCTGAAAAGGCCTGATTCTGTGATGGTAAACTTGGGTCTATATATCAATACATGCTCATCTCATTCTCCCTTTCTGGGCACAATTTCAAATACTAGTAATAATAACAAATATTAATATATAATGGGCATTATCATATATATATATGCACATTTATAACATATTAATACAGCATATAATTACATGCAACACAAAATATAACTCTTAGCAACATTCATGAATGGTTTCATTTGTATTAACATAGGAGAAAATGCTTTTAATGCATGATGCCTAGCTATACTTCTTAATGCTTCTAGGGCATGCTTTATCACAACTGCATAGGATATTTCCTATTTTCTGAGATTCCTTAAGTTTCCTTTCTCAGCAATCTAATTATTTTCTCAAGGTAATGAGCTACATACATGAGACTTACTTAAATATATAAATAAATCATATCTTTAAAAAAGATACACATTTTAATGATCTAAAGTTATTCAGAAACAATGACTGTAAATAAGGTCATCCATCACTAGAAATTTTTTCTAGCTTAATGTCAGCTCATTATTACCTTTGTGTATATTCCTTTTCTTTTCCCTTACTAGTCTTGAGTCCTATTCAGTCATCCTGATCGCCTATAATAGATGAGTCTTCCCCTATCTCTAAGATAAACTTGCTAAAGAAATTTTAGCTGTGAAAACACAAATAGTCATATAACGGATAAATATAGACTTTTCATAAGTCCTAAGTGATCTCAAGAGTGCAAAGCATTTTTAAAATTACTTTAAAATATCAAATTTAATGTTTTAGGATATGTATAACTTTTCAGGTATGTGAAATCCGATCTTCATTCCCTGAAACTGACCAGTAGTTCTCATCAAACTAAGAAAAAGTCTACAAGGTTCCTTTCAGATGTCCGAATGGAACATTCAGTAAACTCACACTATTGCTTGTAACTCCTTTAAAATAAAGCTTCAGGTAGATTGCAAAAAAGCGAACACACTTTTTCTCTGTCCCTTCTGCTAGCGTTGTGGCTCCTCCCACAGAGGTAGGGTTCTTCTCCTCTCCATGAACTTGGGCTGGGCTTGTGACTCACTTTAGGTACTTGTGACTTTAGGTAACAAAATGTGGCAGAGTAGTGGCGTGCCAGGTCAGATCTTAGACTACAAACTGGCTTGCACACTTCCTCTCTTTAATTCTCTTTTCCCTGTCTAGCCACATGTGGAAGAGACTGTACTGGCTTGCTGGATATTGAAAGACACATGGCCCAGTTGCTCTCATTGCCCCAGCTGACAGCCAGTCAACTCCCAAAGCAGAATTGCTTAGTAAACTGGTGGTAGATACACTAGGAATCCAGTCAACTAAAAGAACCAGTGACTGAGTCTAGTCCAAAATGCTGACCCACAAAATCATAATCAGTCATTAAGTTTAGAGGTAGTTGGTTACACAGCAAAAGCCAACTGATACAAAGATCAATCAGCAGGATATCTTTGTATCCCATGAAAGAGCAAGTGTTAACTTAGTCCTAGAAAACACTTACACAAGCCCTCAGATATTCATCTGAAGCCAATTACTCCCACCAAATTACAATTAAAGTTCTACACACCTGTCACTAGGAAGCAAACCTGAAGATTCTTCTTCTCTCTTTGGTATGTCATAGGAATCAATAGGCCTAAAAGATGGAAAAGGAGTTTATGGTCAAAATGTTAGAACTTAATGCCTTCGCAGAGTTCAAGAAATGAATATCAAAATAATGTTATGATAGCCTCTTTCTCAGAATAGACTATTCTCAGAATGGTCTTTGAGTTGAAAACTAAACAAACAGAAGTATTTTAATCCATCTCTACAGAAAACAGAGACCCACTACCACCAATAGACATTTGCAATTCATTCATCCTGCAAACATACACTAATTGCCTGCTATGTTTCAGAACTATTCCAGGCCTGGGCTGGTAAACAAAAACTTATTGGCCTCTTAATACATTTTAGTGGGATGGGCAGGTTAACAGAGGAGTAAATAAATGCATAATGTAAAGCAGGCAAGTGCATACTGGAGGGAAGGGGTGAGGGAAGAGGCATGTATTTCAGGTGAGGTATTGTGCAAAGTCTGACAAGGTGATAGAGGAGCAGAGACTTAAACAAAATGACTGAGCCACACAAGCATGTAAGGGAAGCCTTCTCCAGATACAGGGACTAGAAAATGTGAAAGTCTCAGGGCAGAATAAACTGGATATTTTTATGGGAGGAAAAGGAAGCCACTGTGACCGGAAGCGACCAAGTGAGGTGAAGAGTGGTAGGCAGCTGGGTAGACCAGAAAGCCAAGATGCAGCTCATCCAAGCTGCTTGGGCTTTGGTGAGGACGTTGGATGGTGTTGTAATATGACAGGGAGCACCAGGGGAACTTGGAGCAGGAAGTCAGGTGACAAGCTCAGACAGACAATGGAAAGGGTTCACTCTGCCTGGGTTCCCCTGTGTAAAGGATGGACGGTGGGGAGCAAGAGGACCAAGTAGGTGCCTCTGAAGCAGGGAATGGATATGGCTGTATCCATTCAACTAGGCCAAGACAACTGAAAACCCACACGTGCCCTCTGGCCGTGGAGACAGACCTTCTGTACTGGTATATTTTGATGGAAGTTTCCCTCTCTTTCTCTGCCTGGTGCTTCTGTTCCGCCTCACGCCACTTCTGTTGCTGCTCTTCCTGATACTGCTGCTCCTTCCTCTCTCTCTCAAGAGTGAGCTGTTCCTGCAGCTGCTTCCTTTGGTCCTCATTCGCGTCTTCCTCCTGCTGCTGGTGCCTCATCTTTTCCTCTGCCCGCGTTCCTTCCTTGTCAGGAGACTTGGACTCCTCACCCCTGGTGGCCAGGGCAGGCTCCCGGGCCGTCAGAGAAATGCTGTTTGAGTTCAGGACCATCAGTTCCTACATGACCAGGGAGAAGAGAAACCCGTCTAAACCTGTGCATTTCTATCATTCCACAAAGACGTCTATATTCAGTTTTAAATGATACTTATTGTAGTTGGCCCAGAATTCCACTTGAAATAATACATATAGTTTTATAGCTCAATCACATTGTTCTATGGAAGAAACCAAGACAATAATATGCACTAATTAAAAATGTTCAAAAAAAATAAAAAGAAAGAGTTTTATCACAGACAAAAACACATGTGGGGAGTGGAGTTGTAACACAGAAGAGGAAGACGCACTTAAAGTCTACTGACAGGATTGCTTGTGACACAACAGAGCAACTAGGAGAAAGGCTGAAACGTCAAAGCATAATTGTGACAAACCACAGCCTGGTACATTGAGAGAGTGACATAAGTGAATGTGTGACCAAAGCCACGTGAAACGGGGTAGTTCCATTTTACAGGCCCTTTCAGCAACAAGGTAGGGAAGAAAGAAGATGACATGATCCAACACTACCTCATTCAAGTACTTGGAATTCTCTCTCTCAGCCTCCTGCTTAGCCCTCTGCCACTCTTCCCTCAGTTTTTCCTGTTCTCGTTGATATTTTTCCTATAAGATGAGATGGCATATTAATTAATATGCTAATGATATTAAACAATCCCTTATTTGGATTTTGGCCAGTTCTACCCTCTACCTCCGTATTTAAAGACAGAGACATTGATTTAACCAATCAGATTTGCATCACTGAAGTAGAAAATAGCTCATATTGAGCTAAAATGCAGATAGGGAAGAGTAGACATTGGGAACTGAACCCACATCCACCTTTTCCCATGGCTGTAATTCATGGAAGCCCCCAGCTAACTGGAAGGGGTACTGAATTACTCTGCAATAGACCGAGCGTACAGTGTATGTGGGTAGGTCCTTACGAATCTATAAACCTCTCATGAATAAGAAAAGCCACAAAATGATGATGCTACATTATCTAAAAATATTTGTTGTTCAATCACTAAGTCATGTTTGACTCTTTGCAACCCCACAGACAGGGGTCTCCAGGCTTCTCTGTCCTCCACTATCTCCCAGAGTTTGCTGAAGTTCATGTTCATTGAGTTGGTAATGTTATCTAACCATCTCATCCTCTGCCACCCACTTCATTTTTTGCCTGCAGTCTTTCCCAACATCAGGGTCTTTCCCAATGAGTCAGCTCTTTTGCATTAGATGGCCAAAGTATTGGAGCTTCAGCTTCAGCATCAGTCCTTCCAACAGATATTCAGGGTTGATTTCCTTTAGGATTGTCTGGTTTGATCTCCGGGCAGTACAAAAGTGTCTGAAGAGTCTTCTGCATCACCACAATTCAAAGCATCAATTCTTCATCGCTCAGCCTCCTTTATGTTCCAACTCTCACATCCATACACGACTACTGGAAAAACCATAGCTTTGACTATACAGACCTCTGTCAGCAAAGTGATGTGTCTGCTTTTTAATATGCTGCCTAGGTTTGTCACAGCCTTCCTTCCAAGGAGCAAGCATTTTTTTAAATTTCATGACTGCAGTCACCATCCACAGTGATTCTGGAGCCCAAGAAAATAAAGTCTGTCTCTGGTGGTGGTGGTGGTTTAGTTGCTAACTCGTGTCCGTCCGACTCTAGAGACCTCATAGGCTGTAGCCTGCCAGGCTCTTCTGTCCATGCGAGTCTTCTGGCAAGAATACTGGAGTGGGTTGCCATTTCCTTCTCCAGGGGATCTTCCTGACCCAGAAATTGAACCTGGGCCTCCTGCACTGCAGGCAGATTCCTTACTGACTGAGCTATAAGGAAAGACCCCTGCGAGGGAAGTCACTGCTTCCACTTTTTCCCTTTCTATTTGCCATGAAGCAATGGAACTGGATGCCATGATCTTAGTTTTTTAAATGCTGAGTTTCAAGCCAGCTTTCTCACTGTCCTCTCTCATTTTCATCAAGAGACTTTTTTGTTCCTCTTCACTTTCTGCCATTAGAGTAGTTATCATCTGTATATCTGAGGTTACTGATATTTCTCCCGGCAATCTTGATTACGACTTGTGATTTATCCAGCCCAGCATTTCACATGATACACTCTACATATAAGTGAAATAAGAAGGGTGACAACATATAGCCTTTTTGTACTCCTTTCCCAATTTTAACCAGTCCGTTGTTCCATGTATGGTTCTAAATGTTGCTTCTTGGTCTGCATACAGGTTTCTCAGGAGACAGGTATGGTGGTTTGGTATTCCCATCTCTTCAAGAATTTTCCACACTTTGATGTGATCCATGTAGTCAAAGGCTTTTGTGAAATCGATGAAGCAGTAGATGTTTTTCTGGGACTCCCTTGCTTTCTCCGTGATCCAGCAAATGTTGGCAATTTGATCTCCAGTTCCTCTGCCTCTTCAAAACTGAGCTTGTACGTTTGGAAGTTCTTAGTTCATGTACTGCTGAAGCCTATCTTGACAGATTTTGAGCATAACCTTACTAGAATGTCAAATAAGCACAACTGTACAGTAGCTTTGCTCTTGAGATTGGAATGAAGACTGATCTTTTCCAGTCTTGTGGTGCTGCTGAATTTTCCAAATTTGCTGGCATACTGAGTGCAGCACTTTTACAGCATCATCTTTTAGGATTCGAAATAGCTCAGCTGGAATTCTGTCCCCACCACTAGCTTTGCTCATAGTAATGCTTCCTAAGACCCACCTAACTTCACACTCTAGAATGTCTGGCTTTAGGTGAGTAACCACACCATCATGGTCATCTGGGTCATTAAGATCTTTTTTGTATAGTTCTGTTCTGCTTCTGTTAGGTCCATACCGTTTCTGTCCTTTAATGTGCCCATCTTTGCATGAAATGTTCCCTTGGTATCTTCAATTTTCTTGAAAAGATCTCTGTCTTTCCCATCCTATTGTTTCCTGTTTCTCTGCATTGTTCACTAATGAAGGCCTTCTCATCTCTCCCTGCTATTCTCCAGAACTCTGCATTCAGTTGGATGTATCTTTCCCTTTTTCCCTTGCCTTTCACTTCTCTTCTTTTCTCAGCTATTTGTGAAGTCTCCTCAGACAACCTGTTTGCCTTCTTGCATTTCTTTTTCTTTGGGATGGTTTTGGTCACTGCCTCCTCCACAATGTTATGAACCTCTGTTCATAGTTCTTCAGACACTCTATCAGATCTAATCCCTTGAATCTATTTGTCACCTCCACTATATCATCTTAAGGGATTTGATTTAGGTCATACCTGAATGGCCCAGTGGTTTTCCCTACTTTCTTCAATTTAAGTCTGAATTTTGCAATAAAGAGCTCACAATCTGTGAGCCACACTCAGCTCCCGGTCCTGTTTTTGCTGACTATATAGAGCTTCTCCATCTTTGGCTGCAAAGAACATAATCAATCTGATTTCAGTATTAACCAACTGGTGATGTCCATGTGTAGAGTCATCTCTTGGTTTGTTGGAAGAGGGTGTTTGCTATAACCAGTGTGTTCTCTTGACAAAACTCTGTAATCCTTTGCCCCGCTTCATTTTATACTCCAAACTTGCCTGTTATTCCAGGTATCTCTTGACTTCCTACTTTTGCATTATAACCCCCTATGACGAAAAGGACATCTGTTTTTTGTGTTAGTTGTAAAAGATCTTGTAGGTCTTCATAGAAATGGTCAACTTCAGCTTCTTTGGCCTCAATGGTTGGGGCACAGACTTGGAATACTATAATGTTGAATGGTGTGCCTTAGAGACAATCAAGATCATTCTGTCATGTTTGAGGTTGCCTCCAAGCACTGCATTTCAGACTCTTTTGTTGACTATGAGAGCTACTCCATTTCTTCTAAGGGATTCTTGCCCACAGTAGTACATATAATGCTCATCTGAATTAAATTCACCCATTCCCATCCATTTTAGTTTGCTGATTCTTAAGATGTTGAAGTTCACTCTTGCCGTCTCTTACTTGACCATATCCAACTTAATTTGATTCATGAATCTAACATTCCAGGTTCCTATGCAATATTGTTCTTTACAGCATTGGACTTTACTTTCACCACCAAACATATCCACAACTGAGCACTGCTTCCACTTTGGCCCAGCCGCGTCATTCTTTCCAGAGCTATTAGTAATTGTCGTCAGCTCTTCCCCAGTTAGCATATTGAACACCTTCCAACCTGGGGGGCTCATCTTCTGGCATCATATCTTTTTGCCTTTTCATACTGTCCATGGGGTTCTCCAGGCAAGAACAGTGGAGTGGGGTTGCCATTTTCTTCTCCAGTGGACCAGATTTTGTCAGAACTCTTCACTGTGACCCATCCACCTTGGGTGACCCGATGCAGCATGGCTCATTGCTTCATTGAGTTGTGCAAGCCCTTTTGGGCACGACAAGGCTGCGATCCATGAAGGTGGCTAAAAATATACCCAGGGACTAACAAATAATTTTAAAAGGATGACTCCAGAAATTTTCAAAACAGAAAAGTATTTCATACAAAACATGCTACATATCAAAAGATTTGTTAATTATGTGGTTATCAGCTTTTCACTTTTGAAGTTGCTTCTTAATACCAGTTGACATTGACAGGAGGAGCTCTTAGAGCAAATGTAGCTCCTGTGGATCCACTCTGCTCTGCTCTACCTGCAGCAGCCGGTCCTGCTCCTTCTGCCATCTCTCCTGCCGCTTCCGCTCCTCCTCCGGATCCCAGGCCCAGCGACTTGGGGCACTGATGGTTGGGACTGGAAGCTGCCAGGTCGAAAGAGAAGAGGTGTAAACCAAGAAGAATATGTTACTTCATGAAGTCATCTACTGAAGTACTTTTGCATACATGAATTATTCAGATCACCCTCAGCCTACGCTGTACCAAAGGAGAATGGGCTTTATATTTCAAAGTAGGTCTCTTAACACAAATGGAACTCACCTACAAAACAGAAAGAGATTCACAAACATAGACAACAGACTCCTGGCTGGCAACAGGGAGGGGGACGGGGGAATGGGTGAGGACTGGATTCAGAGTTTGGGTTTAGAAGATGCACAGTTTTTTATATAGAATGGATAAACGACAAGGTCTCATTGTATAGCACAGAGAACCACATTCAATATCCTGTAATAAATCATAATGGACAAAATAGAAAAAAGAGCATATATACATGTAACTGAATCACTCTGCTGTACACTGGAAATGAATACAATATTCTAGGTCAACTATACTTCAATTAAAAAAAGGGTCTCTTCATATTGGAAAGGATAAACTCTCACGCACCTTAAAGTAACAATAAGTGATGCTACTGTGCACTAATTCAGCCCCACCCAAGCCTCCTAGTTTATTCCAAAACCAAACGAAGACTACTTACATCAGGACCCACAGAATCGGAGCTTCCTATGTTACAGCGTGTGGGCAAGGAAAGAATAAAAAAACAATGTAAGTCTTCATTTCCATGAAATAATTCCCTTCAGAAAGTTGTATCACTAAGCTGGTTCTATGCTAGTATACTAAGTGACATCAGTTGTTTTCAAACAACAGTAAGTTTCTCTTTAGTTGAATCTGCTTGTCACTTATCTTCAGAATTCAAAGCCAGCGAAAAAGATCAACAGTGAATGCCCAAGTTACAGCCCAGCTTGAGGCAGAGATACAGGTATATTTCTAAGGAGTCTCAGGGTTCTTTTATGAACAGGGTGAATAATATTCTCATAGCATAATAGAAAAAATTGAATTTCAAATATTACAACATCTATACAACCCAATTTTTTTACTCATTGCTATTCAATTACACTGTGACAGGTGTAAGTCACATTTTTCAGGGTTTATTGCCAATGAGCTACTTTTCTGAAATAAGTCACCAACAAACATGTTCATGAAATATTTCCCTTTGCTTGCCTATTATTTGAAACACAAAGATTCAGACTTCATGCGTAAACTTACGGGCAGAAGCTCATTCTTTTTATTCTTAGGGGGCCTACATAACTGTGTTTGCCTGAATATGGTACAATGATTATAAACATGTAAGCCAGTTTCATAAAATACATTCTCGTACTGTATTTTTTCATTTTTTCCTGAAACCTCAGCTGTCAAATTATTCACTTACACAATGAAATTTTTCAGAAAACTGCTTTTGAGATTTAGGAAAATATTCTTCCCTAAAATTGTTGAGGAAAAGTGAGTGAAAATTACAATGGAGAAAGAAAAGGAATTGCTTTATTTTAGCCAATTTGAACTAGGAGTATCATATGGTTTCAATTAAATTACCACAGAAAAATCGGAGTTGAACAAAAAATGTCAAACCCACTAAGGCTACTGACACAAATAAACCCTTGCATGTGCATAGCTGGAAAGCTAGTTTATGGTTGAAAAGACATCGTAATTCATCAAAAGTGCCTATGAGGAAATTAACACAAAATACACAGATCCAGTAAGTATCATGTTATAAGGCAAGTTTGTAAATATTATGGATAACCTTAAAAGTAAGAAACAATGACATTTTAGACACCAACAGCACACTCCCTATTGACTGTGCCATTGCATCTCAAATGTTGGATATTACTTTTAGGTTCTTGATTGCAAAACACAGTGTTCAAACTGCATCCATGAGACAGAGCATGAGACAAACGTGAATGGGAGGAAAAGCCACATGCAAAGCACCCTGTGAGCAGCACTGCCCGACTACACCAACAGAAGGACTGTCAAAGCACACTCGCTGACAGGTGTGTACAAAATTTACTTTTAACTTACTTCAAAGTCAACATAGCAGTCCTAGTAACACTCCAAAGTCCTCATCCTAATAGCATTCAGTGATTCTGCCCTTTATTCAGAGCATTTTCCATAACCCAAAATTTGATGTTTTAGGAGTTGGCCAATTGCATGTTGGTGTAATCTAATAGTACGCAATTCGCAGGAAGCAGTAAGACATACATGAAATTTCTCATTTCTCACTGTCACCCAGTGGCAAGAAGTGTGTGTTTAAACAGCATCTTAATTTTTTTTTATTACAAAAAAAAAAAAAACAAACTTCAGAGGTATACAAAGGACACGCAAAGACCCATTACCACAGAGGTAGACCCATGAACTGTAAGAAAAGCCTGATGACCCTGGGGAAAGAATGGAAATGGGTTATATTGCTTGGTCATAATGATGGCCACATTGAAGAGGCTCAGTGCCGAGCACCACAGACTATCAGGAGAGAGTGGAGAGTGGGAACAATTCCATGAAAGTACATGAATTGTTAGCTTGGCAGTTTACCTTGTTCAAAAAACTGTGATCGCCTTTTTAAGTTTTTCAAAGATATAGGTTCAGAGGCTAGTTGAAAAATACAAAAAACAAAAACGTATATCAATATCATGTCATTCATTTTAATCTCTCACCACTGGAAAACTAAATGATACTTGATACATTTTTCCAATCTGTAGCAATATTATTTTTCAAGTGACAAAACTGATAGCCATAGAAGATAGGGGTTATTTCAATGCACAAAGACACACATAGTTTTAGTAGTCTATAACTATGTTCAAATTAGTAACAGGAACGAATATTTTGATTAATAAATTTTAGCAGCTAGCTTCACAGTTTCATAGAAGCTGAAGTACTGTCTTCCACACCAGATCACACAGCTTTAAGGAAATAGAAATTAAAATTTTTTGCTTAGGCTAGTCAATTCAAATTCTTAAGTATAAGGAGAATTGCTTGTAACTAAGAGTTTCATAATACATAGAAGTTTTAGAAAAGGAACTAAAAAAATGGGAAAACAAGAAAATAAAAAATATCCAGAGAACAATTTTTTTTAAAGCTACAATTAAAACATTCTTCTTAACTAGGCTTCCCTGGTAGCTCAGAAGGTAAAGAATCTGCCTGCAGAGCGGGAGACCTGGGCCAAGAAGATCTCCTGGAGAAGGGACTAGAAACCCACTCCAGTATTCTTGCCAGGAGAGTTCTACGGACAGAGAAGCCTGGTGGGCTAAGTCCATGGGGTGGTAAAGAGTCCGACACAACTGAACAACAGACACTAACTATTTTGCTCTAGTTTCCAAGATGTTATAGCCATTAACTTTAAAAAGGAAAAAAGCAAACAGAGTCACTTCCAGCTATCATAAATTAAATACAAAAATAAATAATCAATAAAAGAAGGGAAATTTAAAAACTTGGTTTGACTTTGACATCAGATATTATGAATGGACAAATGCAGACTCAACATCACCAAACCACTGAGAAAACCCAGCCCTGTGCCTGGCAGTCTAGTTTCATGCTAAGAGAAGCTTCAACTTCTTTGAGTTTCTCCCTGCCTATATGGACCAGATCTTTCTTATTCACTTTGTCTGCCTAAGCCACAGCACACAGAATGTGGTAGCTCAGTTATTTGTAGATGGACGGGAGAAGGAAAGGAGTGGTAACTCCATATTACGAAGTTTCCCCAGATGCTCTATGTCTGCTTTTCATTACAAATGGTTTTTTTTTTTTTCCTAACAATCATTATTGCCACTGGCATTTCCCTATTACTAGGTGCTTCCAAGCTTGACCCTTTGACAACAATTAAGGGGGAAAGGAAACCTCACACATTGTTTCATATTTAACTAAGATTCCCCTTGCCAGCACACCATAGCAAGAAGGCTGATGGCCTCCAGAAAACCAGTCTTTCTTATTTGGATTAGACACATAGGTGCTCAGAGCTCCTGCAGAGGCTGCCAAAGCTTTGTTTGCAGTTCCTGGACTATTCAACATTGGAACTGAACGCCCTTCCACCTGGCTGCAATTGGATCTGTGTGCTAACCTTTGAGTTTCAGCTTGCACTGGATCAGTTTTGCTTTCACTCAGAGATATTAATTTTTATAATAGCAGAACTTGAGTGCAGTGACTTTTCCTATATTTTAAATGTAAGCTATAAAGGCAATGTTTACCTTTTGATTCAAAAGTATTGCTTTCATCACGAATTCCATTGATTTCTTTTGATTCAGTATTCTAGAAAGGATAAAAATGGCAGTTAACATTCTCTCCAGTTGGACACTGGGCTTAAATAATCCATTTCTCATCAATAAACATATCTGCTAACAGGATGAGCTTTTCAGGATATTAATATATTCCTTATAGCCTTTTACATATAATAGAAATATAATTTTTCATTGTTTTTTAGGAGCTGTGGAAAATTACTGACTAACTGCAAGCATGAATGGCTTTAAGTTCAACCAGTCATTAATTTTCCAAGAAACATGACGGGCTAAATAATCATTTGTCCATTTGCTTTATGTTTGTAAGTAAGCAACACAGTCATATAGAACCCTGTAACATTTAAACCTTTCTTATACAAGGTTGCAGAATCTCCTTACTAGGCAAAAGGAAGCATCTTGGGATAACAACAATTATATCTAGGGAGTCAATATAAACACATTTATTTGAAAATTTAAATTTAATTATTACTTTGATACTTAGAAAAATGCTTACATTCTAATTACTTTTAATCAATTAATGTAATTGTGCATCTCTTAACTACATATGTAATTCTACCCATCAAATTCACCCACACAAGAACTAAAACTGTTTCATGAGGTTTTTAAACTGCACACAATTACTATACTTATTTTACCAGTAAAGACTAAGGAAAGCATAGAAAAGTTATAGCGTATAATTCTACATAATTAACTTCTTCACATTCACAACGATCTGAGAGATGGGTATAATGATGAACGGTTGGTAAGAAACACCTACAAAAGACCACTGTGGGATCTTTAGATTATTTTCATTATATAACTCACTATTACTCATAATTATTCATGAGCAATGCCTTATGATTTTCAAAGATATATTTTACTCTCATTACTATAAATTACCTTATTAATTATCTACATTTTTAAAATAGCATCAAAATTGTTCAAAGAAATTACATTCTTCCCCCACCTCCAACACACTTCCTATAGTTACTTTGCTCTGCCCATTACTAACACTTCTCAAAATACTTACAGAACTCTGAAGGCTTTCCGAGAAATCAGTTGTTACTGACAGATTTGAAGCTTTCTCTGAGCTGTAAATTCCAGAAGTGGCATCAATCCACTTTGTTTCAGGTGAACCTATAATTTTGGTAGCCATACTGGTGAGATTGAGGGTTTTATGCCGTGTAAATGGCAGGGAAGTCTGGTCTTTGCCCCAATCTGATTGTCACATGAAGATCAAGAAATGAGTACACATAAATGTAGAAGTGGAGAGAACAAAGTTACTGAAATGTACACATAAACCAGACACACACACACAACAAATAAATCAGACAGTGTGTGAAAGAAATGAAGAGTTCAGGCCTTTTACCAAGAGATAGCCTTCCAAAACCAGAGGGTTAGAGCATGTTAATAATGAAAAGACTGGCAAATTTGCTGAATCTTTCTGTAAACCAGGACTGGATACTATATTTTGATATCCTAAGTTGGTAGGTCTGGGAAAGCTTAATGCCCTTCCCCATCTAACCTCGACAATTAAGAAACACAATGATGAAATGTACATGGAAAGTTCCTTGAGAGTCAACAACTGGGATACTGATCTACTGTGTTCTTTCTTATACCAGTTACAGTCAGGATGCTGTAGACGAAGTGAAACCATGGTGTAATTCTTAATATTCAACATCAGCATATAACTCCCAAATGCAGACACAATTACAAGAGCCTTCAGTTGCTATCTGCATTCAAAGCCAGTTCAGCACATCAATCAGTCAATAAATAGTGTAGAATTCAGTAAATTTGCTAGTGAAAAGTTTTCAGACAGAACATCCAAAGAAATATCATTCAAGATGTTTCAACATAACCACAAACAACTTTCAGCCAAAAAACAAAAAAGTGAAAGCCACAAAAAAGTGAAATGGAGAGAGAAAATAATGTTATTGAAGCAAGCTGTTATAACCACTTGCCAAAGACCAGCTCCCAGTTTAGAAAGCCAAACGCAGTGGGATAATCAACTCACCAGACTTTCCATAGCGCCTGATATCCATAACTAGGCTCCCAGTTTCCTGGGCCTTAGCCATGGCTTCCTCCCACTCTTTTGTGTCCTTATATGAAAACCTGGTGTTGTTGATAGCAATAATTTCATCATCTACCTGTAGCTGAGAAAATTCTGCTGGGCTACCTAAATAAAGCAAGATAATTGAAACCGCCAATGAAAAATAAAAACATGTTCTACTAGTCACTGCTCATTTAAATTAAGGAAAATAATGACTTCTTAACATCATCTAAGCATTTCTCGTATCTTTTCAGTTGCAGAAGAGTCACAGAATTTCTTAAAGTTATCAAATATTTGAGTAGCTACAAAATTACAAGGCAATCAAAGGCGTTTTTTTTATTCTATGATATGTATCTTTCTTAGCATTTAAAGGAGAAATGATAAAGCCATCTGTTCAATAAAATTGCTTTATTAACATAAGAAGAAAAATTTTAATTATGTTTAAATTAAAAACGTAAAGTATATATTGTACTTTAGCTGAGCTTCCAAAGCCAGATGCGCTCTGGAATGGAGAGAAAAAAAAAAAAAAGGTCACTTAAAATGGCTTAAAATTACTACCTATCATTATCTAATTAAATCAGGCTTGAAGTCTCAAAGAAATAACCAGAGTGAGTATTCATTTTTATATAGCTAAAACATGCAAATGAGGAACTCCTCGTATATACAATAGCTTTCATTTAATTTCAGGTCTTGTAATATTTTGCTAAGAGTTCCTGGGCCTAATTTGGAATAATCCTGGGTGGAGGAGGGCCAATCCTTTTTGTAAAAGTCCTGAAGTGTCTTCCAGGGTCCATGGGCAGCAGATCCATTAGATGCTCAGAAAATACTGATGATATATAGTACCTATGTATCCACCACAAACACAAGGACAGTTCTTTCTGGATCTTCAGTTTAGTAATTTGCTAGTATTTCCAAATATTAAGTCTAAAATATTGATAAATGAATTCTGTAACACTCACAAAATTATGGCTCTTCAAAACTAAAATTAACTAGGCAAGATCAAACAATATGTAATTCATAATTCCATTAGTCTCTAGGAAGAAGACACATCTCTTCACTTTACTGCTGGATTTTTTACATGTGTTTTCTCCTCCTCTACCAAATAAGCAAATTTCTGGGCAGGGGGAGGGGGTGGGAGGGGGACGTTGAACAGCAAAGGACAACAAACAAGAAAAAACTACAGTAGAGCAAAATCTATGATTTACCTGCTTCAACTGATGCTACGAAGATCCTGGAAAAAGCCCATTTTACTGTAAACCCAAAGTCAAGACTGCTCCCAGGCGTCTGGTTTATGCTGATTCTCATATCACTGAACTGATCCTGAAAACAAACATGAAACGGTGGGATCAAGTGTCCCTGGCACCCACATGGAGGAAAGTCTATCTGCCAAAGAAGGGAGGCAGCGTGCAGGTCACACTGGAATTATTTCATGATAAACCAGAAACACCATTCTTCTCCTCCTTGGGTTTGGTAAAACTTTCATTTATGTATATATTTCTCAGTTTATTATTTTCTGCTAAAACAAGGGAAATCTTTATAACTATGGCTATTGTTCTTTGCATGAATACTATGAATCATTTGATTTATACTGATAAAGCTTAGGCTTTTGCTCATCATACGCTTAAGCCTCAGTTATAGACCATTTCTTGTTACCCAGGAATGGAGTTGACTGAGAAGATATGGCATATATATACATATATATACACTACACACACACACACATATACACAAAATGGAATATTATTCAGCCATGAGGAAAAGGATATCCTGCCATCTGGAACAATATGGAAGAAACTTGAGGACACTATGCTAAAGTGAGGTAAGTCAGACAAAGGAAAAGTGAAAGTGAAAGTGAAGTCGCTCAGTTGTGTCTGACTCTTTGTGACCCCATGGACTGCAAGCCCACTAGTCTCCTCCATCCATGGGATTTTTCAGGCAAGAGTACTGAAAGAGTGGGTTGCCATTTCCTTCTCCAAGACAAAGGAAGACAAGTACATATAATATCACTTATATGTCGAATCTCAAAACCAAACTCATAAAACAGGGAGTAAAGTGGTGGTTACAAGGGGATGGGGGTGAGAGGAAAGAACAGATGGTCTTTAAGGTACAAACTTGTAATGAACAGTAAAATGAGCCCTAGAGATCTAATACACAATATTGTGACTATAAATAATATCTTATTATAATCAAACTTGCTAAGAGAGTAGAATTTCCAACCATAAAGAGAAAAGATAATTATGTAATGTGAGAGAAGTTAATTATCACTACAATGGCAATCACATTACAATATATAAATGTATCAAATTAACATGCTGTTCTTTCAAAATTTACCCATTCTATCTCAAATATATGGCAACAAAATGCCATCTTTGAAAACACAAAAAAGATTTAAATCACTTATTTTTAAAATTCCACCATACTATAAAAAAAAACTACCTCCAGTGTTTAACATATTTAGCTGAATAATTTTGAGGGGTTTGTAGGCACAAATTCAGCAACCAGAATCACTTTTCTAGGAGTGGTACCATTCCCTAATGGGCATCTCTATGTCTGCCAAGACATTTTTGCTTCTCCTACTACTTCATGAAGATGTAGTGGTAAAAGCTACTTATGCTGCAAAATGCAGAACTAGGTCAATCCCGAGGAACCACTAGTAAGATGCCAAGAGGGCCCCTGAGACACCATGAGCTCCAGGCCACAACCTCCTTGAAGTAACAGCAGCCCATAAGCACAAGAGCCTCTTGGACAGCTGGTAGACCTTTATTCCCATCTCCACTACAGTCCACAGCAACAAATTCTCAGTTTCACAGACTTTATGCCATTTTCCAAAGAAATGTTTTCAGTTTTACAGTATACTATGTCTGTGAAAAATTTAATTAATCTCCATAATTTATATTTTTTGTTTGGGGTAAAGAGCAGACATAAATTTGAGCCTTTGTTTCCAGATCAGTGTTTCCAGCTCTTTGATTCACAATTATCAAGAACTTAGACTTAATTGTTTAAAAAGAAAAATTCCTCTTAAAGTCACTTTATTTTCCAGGAAAAACCTATAACTTCTCAATTTTAACTTGGCAGTTAAACCCAAACCTAGGAGCAGTGGGCAATTCACAAATTTTTGCACCTTTAAAATAAGTTTAAAATTCAAGTGACTATATTCTAAGAAAAACTGTGATATTACATATGAATTAGAAGGAAGACAAGAGAGGAACTGAATAAAGGATCAAGAATTTACTGTATTATTATGGACATGAGAAGTAAGTGCTATAACAATATACACTTACTCATTTGTTCAACATATATTTATTATGCATCTATTCTGATTAAAACACTTAGGAAATAAAGACAAATTAGGCATAGTCCTAGGTCTCAAGAAATAATTACTGACTCTTCAAGAGTGGGTACAGAATTTTTTAAGAAAAAATAACAGTGTAGCTAAGAATATAGAAACTTTTTTTTCATCAGACATCATATAAGGCAGTTGAAATATGGGAACCAAGATGTAGGTAGTGAGAATACTCATTAATGATCAGCCTAATGGATACCAGTCTCTGGAATATAATAAAACTCTGCTATGGATAGAAAAAAAATTACTGGTTAGTTCTACTCCTTAACCAAAACCACCACACACTTAAATTAGAGATGACTCAATGAAAATAAGTGGTCATCGTCACCACTCTTACCCAACTCCACTCCTCCATACTCTGACCTAAAGCCAATTAGAGTGCAGAATCTATTGCTATATAAGGCCACAGAGACAAACAATGGATTAGAAATTCCAAGATACTAACTGAGGTTTTTTTATATCTTGAAGAATAAGAGACAGGACAGAGTTTTAATAAACAGTTCCAAACTACAATAAAGAATACTTTGTGGGCAAGAGTAAGTGAACGGTATCCTGTTCCACCAAACACAGGATAAAAGAGAATGAGCTTAAGCCATAGATGATAGAGCCTCACAACCGTATTAGACCAGAGGAATTGTCTTCTAAAGGACTGCTCTTACCTGGAGCTAAACCTCTACTTGAACATAATAAAAGGGCAAATGACCACCTCTCTGAAACAGTTAACAGAGGAGGTCAGCCTCACTGTGGCCACAGTCTGGGGAAGTACACAGACAAAGGAGAGAGAACCAATTACAGGTCTATTTCTGTCAACAGCCAGGCAGCCTCAGGCATTTCACTGAGTCTGGCAGAGACTTTCCTCTCAGACTGGCATTAGTTTTTAAGCTTCCAGTTTCCAAAACCCTACTTTCCCATGCAGACCATCTTCCTCTCAAAGCCTACACCAAAAGGATTAAAGTGGGTGGTCGCGGCTCGAGGAAAGGGCCCCAGAGTCCCCTCTTGCATGGTCTCCTCCAATGACAGTCAGTGTAGCATGTGTGTGGAATCCTGGGTTCTTGCATTAGGTTATCCTTGAAACTTTTTGTAGGTAAAGTGGCTTTCCCTGGTGGCTCAGATGGTAAAGAATACGCCTGCAATGTGGGAGACCTGGGTTTGATCCTTGGGTCAGGAAGATCCACTGGAGAAAGGAATGGCTACCTACTCTATATTCTTGCCTGGAAAATCCCATGGACAGAGGGGCCTGGAGGGGTACAGTCCATGGGGTTGCAAAAAGTCAGACATGACTGAGCAACTAACATATGTCTATAATTACAGTCAAGCATAATCCATTCAACTCTGATTTCACTTAGGATTTGTGCCTCCTGGTTTTTCTCATGAGAAATATGCCATGTGAGGATTTTACAAAGGGTCCAAGTTTCAGAAGATGATGTTATGGGAATTTTCTTTTGAACTGGATGGAACCAGGAATATACATTATTAGGGGAAATCTAGAGTCTTGATGACTGGTAAAGAACTATGCCAAGTGGTGACAGTTGCCTATTCTGGTAAAGATAGAGTACAATCACCAACAGACCAGCATCTAAAATAAAAACAACTTTCCTCAATTTAAACAGAAATATACACTTTTTAATTTCTCCTCATTCTTCTCAACCTCTCTTAGTCATCTGACGTTCTCTAGAATTTTTTATTCATTTATTTTTATTTTTGCCTATGCTGGGTCTTCATTGCTGTGTGGGCTTTTCTCTAGTTGCTGCAAGCAGGGGCTACTCTCCAGTTGTGATGCTTGAGCTTCTCTTATTGTGGAGCATGGGCTCTAGGGTTCCCGGGTTTCATTAGTTTTGTCACGTGGGCTCAGCAGTTGCAGTTTGCAAGCTCTAGAGCACAGTTGTGGTGCACTGGTTGCTCTGGGACATGTGGGATCTTCCGGGATCAGAGATCGAACCCATGTCTCTTGCACTGGCAGAAGCCACCAGCAAAGCCCAGAAATACAGACTTCAAGCTGAGATTTTCAAACAAAAATATGATTACCTGGCATAGCCATCAGCAGACTGATTTTTATGAGGTCTAATTAATTAATAGGGCTTCCCTGATAGCTCAGTTGGTAAAGAATCCGCCTGCAATGCAGAAGAGCCTAGTTCAACTCCTGGGTTGGGAAGATCTGCTGGAGAAGGGATAGGCTACCTACTCCACTATTCTTGGGCTTCCCTCGAGGTTCAGCTGGTACAGAATCCACCTGCAACACGGGAGACCTGGATTTGATTCCTGGATTGGATTCTAGTATCACCACAGATGGAAAGTAATGAACAGCAGGGTCAACCTTATATACTAACAAGTCAGATGGACATTCTCAAACTTTGTTGATCAGATAAACCTGTTCACTTAAAGAGAGCCTACTTCGGTCGATAAAATCAAAATACACTAAAAGTAGATTTAGGCTGTAAAATCATAAATAACAAAGGAAACAGACAATCTTTGATGTTGGCTACATGGTTCTTTTGTGTCTTTTTTTTTTTCTTTCTTTTGTGTCTTTTTTCAGGGTCTTAGTGGATGAGAACATAGTGAAAGTGAAAGTCGCTCAGTCATGTCCGACTCTTTGCCACCCCATGGACTACATAGTCCATGGAATTCTCCAGGCCAGAACTCTGGAGTGGGTAGCCTTTCCCTTCTCCAGGGGATCTTCCCAACCCAGAGATTGAATCCAGGTCCCCTACATTGCAGGCAAACCCTTTACCAGCTGAGCCACAAGGGAAGCCATAGCAAGTAACCCTCAAATCATGGCGCAGCTCATCCTTCACTGAAGATGAGTCTCTATCTACCTTCTCTCCTTCCCCATGATCCACCCCAAGGAAGCAGGTGGTCCTGCCAGCTCTACCACTTGACTCAACCCATTCCCAAGCTTATCTCTTACCGACCAAATCCATTTTCAGCCCTCATCCCATCGGGCACTACCAACACCTCTGGCTTTCAGGAAACAAACTTC